CCTTCCTCTCTCCTCCACCTCCCTCCCTCTCCCCCATCTCCCTCTCTCCCTGTCCGTCTCTCCTCCACCTCCCTCCCTTTATCTCCTCCCTTCTTTCTCTCTGTCATTCTCTGTCTCTCATCCCCTTCTCTCTCACACAGTATTTGTGCTGTGCAGTACTCTGGGGAGGAATGATGGTTCAAAGGTTGAAAACCAATAGGAACAAAGAGGTGCAGTGCCTCACATTACTGTCTTAAAGGCAAAGAAAAAAATTATCCTAAGGGTTGATTGCTATCACAGCACTGCTTCTGAAGCCAGCATACCCACAGTGCCCTCCCATGAAAATGCTATCATTCTTGTACAGGCTAGACAATCCAGTTTCATATTCCCTGGTGCTAGGAGCTGGAGAAGCAGTCGGAGCAAACACTATGATCACAGAAAAAACAGATTTTACTTTACCTATATTTCAAGACTCTTATATTAAAGCATCTGGAGAAATCTCACATGAGATGCCTATAAGCTTTTCTGGTCCCCCCACCCATTCCTGTAATTTTTTCTACATTATTCCATAATAACTCTCTTAGTCATCTAGTGCTCCTCTAACAGAAGTACCACAGGTGGATGGTTTAACAAAGAGCAGTTTATTCTCTCACAGTCCAGTAGGCTACAAGTCCAAATTTAGGGCGTCAGCTTCAGGGGGACGCTTTCTCTGTCAGCTCTCGAGGAAGGTCTGTGTCGTCAGTCTTCCCTTGGTCTGGGAGCTTCTCTGCGCAGGAACCTCAGGTTCAAAGGATGCGCTCCACTCCTGACACTGCTTTCTTGGTGGTAGGAGGTTCCTATGTGTCTCTGCGCAATTCTCTCTTTTATATCTCAAAAGAGATTGGATTAAGACACTATCTAATCTTGTACACGTCATCAGTATAACCTCATTACAGTGAAAGAATTTACAACACATAAAGGGATCATATATAACCTCATCATAGTGATAGAGTTTACAACACAAAAGGAAATCACATCAGATTACACAATCATACAGTACTGCAAATCATGACCCAGCCAAGTTGACAGATATTTTTGGGGGACACAGTTCAATCCATGACAATAACATATTTGTCTTTGTACCTTTTTATATTACCTTCTTGGGAAAAATCTAAAATAATTCATCAAAATAAACTAATTAAGTGATACTGTTTATAGTTTTTCTCATTTTACAAATGGGCAAACTAAAGCAATGAATGGGTAAAATAATGGACCTCTAAAGATTTGTCAAACTCTTTTACCTTCTGGAACAGGTGTATTCCAGAAAAATGGAATATAAGTGAATTTCAGCCTAGCAAATCCTATTGTACCACTGACTTCCATTGAAAAATGAGGAGTGCATTCTCATAGGAATAAAATCCTACAGTGGTGCAAATTCAGTATGATTTGCTTTAATTCAACAAACATTCTTCCACACATGGAGTCCCTGGGTGCTGCAGATGGTTAATGCACTTGACTGCTAACTGAAAGGTTGGAGGTTCCAGTCCACCCAGAGGTGCCTCGGAAAAAAGGCCTGGCAGTTTACTGCCACAAAATCAGCCAATGAAAACCCTATGGAGCACAGTTTTACTCTGACACACTGGGTTGCCATGGATCAGCGTCGACTCGAGGGCAACGGGATTTCTCTACACATGGCATCATCCTAGGCCAGTGGGGTTTAGAGATATGAGTGGCTAAGCTTTCAGGGAGTTTATGAATGGGAACAGTGCAGGAAAGGACAGAGAGCCACAGGGGCTTGATGGGGTAGAAAACAGTCCTAGATAAGGTGATGGGTTGAGAGGGTCTTTCTAAATGCAGTCATCTTTGAAATGTGTCTTTATACTGGGCTGAATGGTGGCCGCAAGAATAGTGTTCACGCCCTGACCCCCAGAACCTGTGAGTGTGACTTTTTCTGGAAAAAGGGCATTTGTAGATGTGATTGAGTTAAAGATCTGGAGAGGAAGTCATCTTGGATCATCCAGTATCAAATTTTTTTTATAAGAGAAAGGAAAGGGAGGTCTGACAGCAGGGTAGGAAGCCCTGTGACCACAGAGACGGGGTGGAGAGATGGATCCACCTGTCAGGGAACACCCCAGCCATCAGAAGCTGAAAGAGGCAAATGGCAGATTCTCCCCTAGAGCCTTCAGAGGGAGCATGGCCCCTGCAGACACCTCTCAGACTTCAGGTCTCCAGAACTGGGAGAGAATATGTTTCTGTTGTTTTAAGCCACAGAGTTTTTGGTAATTTGTTACAGCTGCCACAGGAAGCAAATACAGCCTTGAAGGCTTCGGCTTGAGAAAGCCGGGTCTAGGGGGCAGAGCAGTGTCCGGCAGTAGGATAGTACCCTTGTGTTGGAAAACAAAAAATGAGGTGCTCCGCCCAATATTTCTCCATCATGAGGAGAAGGGGCGCACAACAGCTTTTCTTTGAGCAGGGATCCCGTGCCCATTGCGGGTATTAAACGTTCCTGAGCCTTGTCATGAAATACTGATGAAATCCCTTCAGCATTCTGACAGCAGATTTCCTTCTACCCCCAAATTTCCAGAAGCCCCCTGGGGAGCTGTTCCACCACTGGTTCAACCACTGGTGAGTTGCTGAGAGAAGAGAGAATCTGATCCTTACCTGAAAGGGTTCAAAAATCAGAGGCTCTAATGTCCTTCCTTGTTCATTTTGTTACTGGATTTCCCCCCTCCCTCCCTCCCTTCCTTTTTAATTTATTGTCTATCATCATGAATGAGTGTTGAGTTTTATTGACTATTCTTCCTGCACTGGTCAAGAGGACCATGTGATTTTTCCTCCTTTAATGTATTAACTTGATAGATGAGTAGGGCAGATATGACTGACTTCAAACCTATTCTCCCACTTGTCTTTAGTAACCACCATTGTATTCAGGGTGGTCGTGTGCCCAGCTAAAAGATCCCATTGCCCTTAATGTCACTCAACTGTGCATGTGCAGATTGTTGAAATGGCAAATATTTTGTTACATACATATTTACCATCAAATAATAATAATCCATTCCCTAGCTTCCCTGTGTGACCCTAATACTCCCCAGCATCTTCTCTCCTTTTCAAAATGGGCAACTGAGAGCCTGACATCACTAAAGCCATGATAGCTTCGTTAATGGCTTCGTTTTTTCGACTTTTTTTTATGACTTAGGATCCCCCACAGGAAGATTAGAGCCCAGATGTCAGATACTTATATCTTTAGCCTGATAAGGAAATGTCCAGTTCCTTATCTCTTTAGTATGCTAAAGAGTCTCTTGTAATTACCTTGTAATGAATAACAACACTTGTAACCTTTGTAAAAATCATATCTAAGCTCTAATGTAAAAATGCCTTTTGGGACTCCATAGAGACAGCTTGTGTTGCTGTTGGATCCTTGTTTGGTGTACACCTCCTAAATTACAACTTTCTCACTCTTTCTGACTTGGAGTATGTTTCATGGGCTCGACTGCTCCAGGGCATGGACCCTATTTGGGTAACACCTGGATGCAAGATGTGGCCAAGAAGACATGTGCAGTTTTTCTGCACCATTTTCGCCCTTCCTTGCTGCCTGGAATGTAAGTGTGATAGTTGGGACAGTGGCAGCCATAAATACCTTGAGGCAATCTTGAGACTAAAGTCAAACTCTAGGTGATCAGACTAGAAGAGAGAAGCTTGGGTCCCTGATGACTGTGGAGCCACAGTAGTAGGCTTGGGCTGCCTGCTTCTGAGCCTACATTACATAAGAGAGGAATGAACTGCAATTTGTTTTTACAAGCATATACAGACGGAGGTCATAAAAGCATTGAAGTGGGCCTTCAACCACTGCCGTGAGCTGGAGAGCTCAGGTCCCAGCTAAAGGGGACAGCTGCGGCTTAGCTAGCGCGTCATTTGGAGGAATGGTGGTTCAGTATTGCCAGATCTCTCAGTTTTCAAAAGATTTCAGAAATTCCAATTTTTATGTGAAAGCTCCCAATTTTTAAATATTGGCTCACATTTTTTTTTTAACAAAACTCTAGGTGGCCTAAACAAAACACAGCTGAAGATCATATTTAGCCCATAAGCTGCCAGTTTACCAACTCTGCTTACAACTGTTCTCTTGAAGACCCAGACTGAAGCAGTGGTTTTTTGTTTTGTTTTTTGCCGTGGGGTAGATGGGGACTCATGGCAGTGATCCCCTGTGTGTCAGAGTAGGACTAGGCTCCACAGGGTTTTCAGTGCCTGATTTTCACAAGTAGATCACCAGGCCTTTCTTCTGAGGTTCCTCTGGGTAGACTTGAACCACCAGCCCTTTGGTTAGCAGCGTTTTCACTATCCAGGGAGGCCCCAAACCTGTATCCGCCGACCTCAAGTTTGGGGGGCATGGTTCAATCAGTCAACGCTGTGCAGTTAGGTCAACTGCGCTCCTGGTGAACCCCCGTTTGCCCTCTTAAATGCTGTTCCCCCGTCATGTAAGTGGCCCTCAGAGGAGTTTGTACTGTGCCTCACTCTCCCCACATGGTCCTCCTCTGCTCGGTTTTGCAGTGCCTGGGTCTGGGAAAGAATTGAAAAAGACCCAAGGTGTGACCCCCGGAAGGTGACTGGAAACTAATCCAGAGCCTGTGGCAGCGGGCAAGGCCACCGGAGGGTCCCATGGGAACTAAGACCCCTCACAAGTGGTTGTGGGAATGAGGCGCAGGTGCCCCTCCCAGGGCCTCCGGGAGCCGACCCTGGCCCCCCCTGTCCACCGGCAGATTGTCCCCGCGGCCTCCACTGGGCGGGGGAGCGCCCGCTCGCGGCCACCCTGGGCCGCGCGGACCCCCCCTGCCCGGCTCCT